GTGTGTTCCTGTGGCATGTGTGTGTGTGTGTGTGTGTGTGTGTGTGTGTGTGTGACTGAGGCACACTGGGATCCTGCAGGACCTTTGGGGGAATCTAACTGGGCACGCCTAACTAGGCAGCCTCTGCTACCATTGCAAACAGTCCCAGAGAGGCCAGCTCTTCCTCAGAGGCCTCGCCTTTTAAAAGGGGAGAACTGATGTAACTGAGAGCCCACCCAGGGTGCCCTCAGGTAACACCTGGGACTCTACAGCCACCCCTGCCAGGGATCTGCTACCCCGGCTGTGGTCCCACAGTCACCAAGTCTCCAGCCACACCGGGCACAGGTTCCTGTGAGTTCTGAACCACGCTCCCTCCTGACCAGCCCAACGCTTTAGTCCAGGGCACTGTAACCACACGAATAGCAGACACAGGAGCAGCACACTCCTGTCCAAGGAGCATCAGCCCCGTGAGCAGCCTGCCTCAGGCCTAAGAGCAGCAGCCTCATGTGGACTGCCCCTGTCCAAGGAACAGCAACCACACGAGCAGTTCGACCCATCCGAGGAGTAGCAGCCACATGAGCAGTCTGCCTACATTTGAGGAGTGGCAGCCTTGTGCAGCCCGCCCCCATCCAAGGAGCAGCAGCTGCGCACAGCCCACATCCTGCACCAGTCCGAGGAGCTGCAGCCACACGAGCAGACCTCCCAAGTCTGAGGAGCAGCAGCCCTGCGCAGCACGCACCGGTCCGAGGAGCAGAGCCACACACAGCTTGCACCTGTCCGACGAGCAGCAGCCAGGTGAGTGGTTGGTCCCCACCTGAGGAGGAGCAGCCACGTGTGCAGCTCACTCCCATCCGAAGAGCAGCAGCCACGCAAGCAACCCACCCCCGACCGAGGAGCAGCAGACTTGCAATCAACCTGTCCAAATCCAAGGAGCAGTGGCCCCAAAAGCAGCCCACCACATTAGAGGAACAACAGCAGCATGCAGCCAGCCCCCATTCAAGGATCAGCAGCCACATGAGCTGTCCGCCCCAGTTCAAGGAGTAGCAGCTGCGTGCATAGCCCGCCCCCATCCAAGGATCAGCAGCCTCATGATCAGCACACCCTCTGTCTGAGGAAAAGCAGCTGTGTGAAAAGCCTCCCCCCACCAGCCAGAGGAGGCACCATGGCTGTGAACAGCACCCACCAGAGGAGCTGCTGCCAACTGAGGAGCAGCTGCTACCACAACCGCCCGAGGAGCAACCACAGCCCAAGGAGCCACTGCCACCCAGGGAGCAGCCACTGAAGGACTCAACGTCTAGATATGTCAGTGAGATCAAACATGGGTAGACAAAGAAG